TTTTGCTCCGGTTTGGCCATAGGCAGATTCAGCATCAAAAAACGAGCCAGGGAGAGAAAATTTACCTCGATTGGCGGTCGGAAACTTCTCCAGTGCGGCGGCGGCCGGCTCCTCCGGTGTCTGGTTCTTCTTCTCTGGCGAGGCACTGGCGGCTAGGGTTTTGTGGTTAAGTGTGGGTGGGGTTATTTATACCTTTTGCCTTTTAATTTCAACCGTCCATCAAGATTAAATCTGGACCGTCCGATTGCGATTTAATTGGAATTGAATCTGGGCCGTCCATACGCGTGAATCTAGGCCGTCCGTTACAAGATATGTGATTTTTTATGAGCATAAGACCTTATCAAACTTTGAGACATCAGAGAAGATTACAAGTGAATAAATTCTTCTTCCTGCACTAGTTTTCCCTTCGATCAGAGATGTCACAGATGAGGGAGAGTTACATGATGATTAAGGGTTTAATGATATGTCAACACCAGATGATATTGAGTAAGGGATCAACCTCTTACATCTCATGTTACATAAGAACCTTAGCTTAGAAGATCAACTAGAACATATTATCCTTCTAACAGATATCCTAGTTCTGAGTATAATATAGTTATCGAAGAGAGGGAGCCATAAAGCTTTCAAGAAATTTAGAACCATCAAGAAAAAGCTTAGTGGTTGAAAGAAATATAAGAGGAGATGAGCTCTTTAAAGAAGAATAATACTTACGAGTTAGTTGAACTTCCAAAAGATAGAAAAGCTTTGAAAAACATGTGGGTATCCAAGCTTAAGATGGACGATGAAAATCTAGTAAAATATAAGGCTTGTTTGGTAGTAAAAGGTTTCAATCAGAAGAAAGGAATTGACTTTGATGAGATATTTTCTCTTGTTGTGAAGATGAGCTTCATTCGGATAATTCTTGATTTGACTGCTAGTTTAGATCTTGAACTTGAACAACTAGATGTGAAGATAACATTCCTTCATGGTGATTTGAATGAAGAAATCTACATGGATCAACCAGAGGCTTGAAGTCAAAGGGAAAAAACACATGGTTTGCAGGTTGAAAAAGAGTTTGTATAGATTGAAAAAAGCTCCAAGACAGTGGTACAAAAAAATTAATTTTTTCATGGTCAGTCATAGTTACACCATAACATATGCAAATCATTGTGTGTATTTCAGGACATTCCCATATAATAAATTTGTCATTCTGTTGCTTTATGTTAATGATATATTGACAGTAGGACAAGACACTATAGAGATTAGTGGTTTTAAAAATAATTGTTTGGCTCTTTTGATATGAAAGATTTGGGATCAACACCACAGGTTTTGAATATGTAGATTACTCGTGATAAGAAAGCTAAAAGTTATGGTTGTCACAAAAAATGCATGTTGAAGAAGTTCTAAACAGATTTCATATGAAGAATACTAAGCCATTTAGTACACCACTTGCTAATTACTTCATACTTAGTAAGAAATTATGTCCTGCTACTCAAAAAGAAAAAGAAAAAATGTTAGTTGTTTCTCACTCCTCTGTAGTTGGGAGTTTGATGTATGTTATGGTTCGCACCCAACCAGATATTGCTCATGTTGTTGGTTTGATAAGTATGTTTCTTTCTAATCCTAGCAAGAGTTATTAGGAAGCAATAAAATAGATTTTCATATATTTGAGAAGTACTTTTAATATGTGTTTATGTTTTGGAGGTTCAGAACCAATTCTAGAGGGATATGCAGATGCAGATATGGCAGGTGACCTTAATAACATGAAGTTTACTTCAGCGTATGTGTTTAATTTTACAGGGGGAGTTGTATCATGGCAGTTTAAATTACAAAAATGTATTGTCTTATCTACAATTAAGACGGAGTCTATAGCTTTGACTGAAGTATGTAAAGAAATGTTCTGGATGAAAAGATTTCTCCAAGAGTTAGGTTTGAAGCAAGATGAGTATGTGATAAATTATAATAGTTAAAGTACTCTAAATTTGAGTAAGAATGTTACATATTATTATCGAACTAAGCATATTGATGTGAGATATCATTGGATAGGAGATGTGGTAAATAATAAATATGTTATTAAAAAATTTCACACTAATAAAAATTCAGCTGACATATTAATTAAGGTAGTAACTTGTAAGAAACATCATTCTTACACCATAAAGGTATGACTGATTGGACACTGAGCAATGTATCCAGCCCAAAAAAAGGCAAATTAAGCAATTTAAAAAAAGAATAAAAAAAAAAAGAAATTAAGGCTGCAGTTTTTAGAAGTATATATATATATATATATATATATGTTACACGAAAAAAAAAAATTAAGAGAGAAAAGAAAAAACAAGTTGAGTGGCTACCAGGGAAAGGAAAAACAAGTGGTTTTCATTCTATCTTCTTGGTGACATCATCGCTGACATCAACAATTTCGTATTTTCTCAATACATGTTAATTTGATTTTATTTTCCTTTTTCTTCAAGTTCTGCACACAAAAAAATGTTGCTTTTTCTGTTATGGGTTTAATTTTTAATGGATTACTTTGTATTTATTTTCATTAATACTAGATTTGATTGAAAGTTTGATTGGTGATTTTTTTCTTCATATTGAAGAATTTTTTACGTAAAATCATGTGTTTATTTAATTTTATAATTATTATCTATTTATTATTTTTGTTCCGATCAATTTAACTTAGAATTATGATTATTAGTTAGTGCTAATTAATTTATTATTAATTTAATTTACACAATTCCAACAATTATGAGGTTTGGTTTGGTCACTTCTCCCTACTTAATGTGCACACCAAGAAATTGGGAATTCCAACTCAATCAAGTAGAATGTTCGTAATTCATCGACACAAGAACTTATATATACAAATGGTTTCCATTTTTACAGTCATAATTACAGTAAGAGTCATTTATTTTCTTCCAACTTTCATCCAGAACCACATTTCTTATGAAGAATTCGTGATATTGAATGTTTCATTTCACCTGGTCCTTTTACAATGCAAAGTTACTGGTGCTAGCTCCAGCTTATGTAATATATATCCATATTTTGATCTTTACATTCGGAAGGATAGAGTTTCATGTATCTATAAGAATCAATTGTTGGGAACTTCTTTTGTTCTATGACTTGGTTTTTATCATGTGCAAGATCTTTGCATATAAGTCTAGAAATTATAAATATACTGAATGCTCAACATTTTCTGGATCCACAGAAATATTTTGCTCCCGTTAATACTTCAACAATATATCAAATATTAGTAATTATATTTGTTGTTTGTATAATATAATATTAATTAAACATAAATTAATGATAAATCTAAAATAAAAGATCAAAAATTACAAATACCAACGCAAAACACTCCAATACCAAATATGTATATATACTCGTATTTAACAAAGTACTTACATTTTATAATAATTTTTACCCAAATATGTAACTAATGATTATTTTTAAGTTGACATCTAATTACATTAAACAAATACTTCAAATACTCTGCATGTCTTTTGGGCCACTACAAACACGTTCTTAATGACTCCTTCCTATGAACAACGTCTAAAACAGAAAAAAGGGAGCTCCAAACAGGAACGAAATTGGAAGTGGATCTACCTGAGACTATGTCTAGTCTCAAGATTATATTCTTGGCTTCATTATTGCCAGATAGCAATTTGGACCAAACTTCCAGGAAGAATTTGAGAAAGAATAACAAAAATATAATATCACATCATCATTACAAGTTTACAAAATATTAAAATTGGATATTTGAAAAAGGTAACTTTCTACCAGAAATAAATGAGGAAAAAGCCCGCTGACTTGTTTTGAAGTGAAACCAGGCGGCCAATACTACTCATTGGTTATAATACGGAGGCTGACCTGGAGTTGCTTCACCTCCAGGTCTCATATTGGGCTGGACTGCGGAAGGTCTCCTAGAAGTCACGCCAGGATGAGAAAGGGGTGAGGAACCCGCAGGTACCGAGGTTGTGGGATATGCAGGAACTGGACTGGCAGCATAACCTGATGTTGTGGGATATGTTTGACCAGGAAAAGTCTCAGATGCCGATACATATGGTCTGCTTGTGTGCATGTTTGGATCCCACACTGGGACTGGTCCAGCAGGGCCTTGAGAGGGCACCCCAGCTCTAGCTGTAGCAGCAGCAGCATAAAGTGGAGCACCCTGAGGATTCTGCCAAACTGTTGGACTGGTAGAGAGACCAGGAACTTGCTGTGCTGCAAGCAAACTTGCATCAGGAATTGTATAATCTCTACTTTTGTCACTGTATGCCTGTAACACATAAGTAGTACATAATAGAATGAGTCAAAAGCTAATTGAAGCCCCGCTCCAGAAAAATAAGTTAAACCAAAGTCAGAAACAGATTACTGAAACAAACAACTAAGCATATTAAAAAATTATATCAAACAGGAAAAGGAGGCAATTAGGTGTCAAGAAGCATACGTTTTTAAGGACCAAATCTTTTTTCGACCGACAACGGATCCACTTTTTCTTCTAACGATGTCTATATTTTTCTCTTAATTTTTTCTCACTAACACTAACTCAAAAGCACATATTTATACCTTTACATTGAGATCAGTATGACGAGAGTATGATAGATGAAGCTTACAATAGCCACCATCATAAATGCAGTGTCCCTCTAAAGCTTCTTTGGCAACTGCTGCAGTCGCTATATCTGAAAAGTAAAACTTGGACATCAGTAAAGCCAAACGTTAAACCTCTGTACCTAAATAGGAACATTTGCCTTTATTCCATTTCAGAATTTTTCTTAACATTTAACCAAGGACCACAAAAAGATGTCTGCAAGGACCACAAAAAACATATCTGCAACTATCAAACATATGGTTTCAAAATCTCCATGAATGACTTCTAGATGCAGATGTGAAGGATCCACAGCTTAGGGTGTAATTGTAACAAAATAAAAAGTTTTAAAAAGCTTGGACATGGGTAGATCCAATTATTGTCTCTTATTTATTTGGCAATAACAAAATGGTAATGAAACTAGAGAAACAGAAAAAGTAAGAGACAAAAAGTGATATCTGTGCAAGAAGATGCTCAAGAAGAATCTACTCTGAAGATTGGTTGCCAAACCCAGAGGTCCCCACTTTCAGCACAAGAAAAGCAGATTCACAAACATTTTTATCTCAAGGAATCAGGGGGTACCCGGATATTGAATCAATGCCTGTGTACCACCATTCTTTTCAAATATAGCAATCTTCTGGACAGTTCCAAATGCAGAAAATACCTGGGATCCAGAAACCAGCAAAATCATTAAGAGTGCAACCTGAGTTAAAAACTTCTTTTCTTACAAAACATTACTGATTAAATATGAAGAAAATAGAAATGAAAATCCTCACTGTGTGGAGAACATCCACTGTGACAGCATACTGCATATTCTCAATTGATGCAAGAAGCACGTTACTCTCAGGTTCCTTCTTCTTTCCATCAGGACCCACGGAAGGCTGGAGAAGACAGCTTGTTAACACAATCCCCATGGGGAAAGACCTGAAAACTATGAATCTGATACTTACCTGCAGGAGTCCCTCCATTGCAGTAGGATTCACAGGAAGGTAAGGATTCGTATAATCTCTGCAGGAATCGCAAGCAAAATACAAATGCATCATTCAACTACCATACAACACACTAATGTGTTAGAAAACCTATGGAAGAGAAAGAACTCGTGAACCAAGATCTAAGACAAATTCGGGAATGCCATGGTAAATGCACATCATATACTATAAATTATGCCAGTATTTCAAATTCAAAGCTTCTTTTGCTAGAGAAGAAGAAAAAAAATTTTGGAGGGTGCAATAAAATGTACATAACCAATACGAAAGCCATGAACATGGAGAAAAAAAACTGCTTACTATGATTTGCAAAGAGATCAAAGACTCAAGATATGCCATGGTTAAACTATGTAGAAAATGCTACCACTAAGGACAGTTCTTTATATTCCCAAAGAGTTCCATGAAATCCCATTTGATGCATGTTCTACAAAATTAAGTTTTCAGTTTTCCTTCACTAGTTATATGGCATGCCTACTGCATCTTTCTCTAAACAAAGAACCCTATATAGTAAAACTACAAAATTCGGATAAGTTGCAGTTTCACCCCTGCAGTTGCCCTGGTTGCAATAAAAACCTTGTGGTCCTCTATGACAGTCTAGTACCATGGGGTTAGGTTTTTTTCCATTTTATATAAAAATCACGAGTTTTTTACACTATTATCTAATAATGTTTTTAATTTCTTCATAATCTTGTTTCATTTAGTTTTAAAAGTTTCATGTGCTCATGTTTCAAAACCCAAACATGGCAAATGTACTTAAAATAACAAAAAAAATAGCCTTAGCTACTAAACTGTAACCAAAAGAACCATGAGTTTTGAAGTGCAATCAGGTTGAACAAGGGGCAAAAGTGCATGCCCTAAAAATTATCATAACAAAAAATTGGGGCTTCCCACATAACCAACTGTTAGTTAGAACAACTTGCTGAAACCTACATGGACTTGAAGTGGAGCAAAACGAGAAGGAAACACGAATGTACACTACAACAAACATTGAAGTCTCTATTGACTGACTGAAACTAATTGTGGGAAAGAAATAATTGCTCAATTCAGTGCACTTCACACTTTTATGCACAAAAAACTCCAAAAAAAAAAGGGTTAGAAACTGCACGAAAACATCTTTAAAAATTATAGGAATTACTAAACAGCCCATGACAACTGTTTTCGGGCTACTGGGCTTCACTAGCACCCACATCAATTAGCAACAACCTCCAATGCCAGCAAAATATATATACATATATAGCTATAGTTATAAAAGGTTGGATCAATGAACATATTAGCACTGAGGCATTGATCCTCTCAGTAAATTGTTACCGGCTCCGATGAGACTGAAACTTGATATTCAGATCAGTATGAGCAGAATAAGAAATCCGCAAGTGACAAGAACCAACATGCTCTGGAAGCAAGTACCTGAATTTGAACATCATAAAAGAAGTTTAAGAAATCATCAATGTGAAGAAGCGGTTTGAGGAAGGAGTAAGCATCGATGAAGGAAAAGAGACTAAAAGAAGCAGGGCATGCCTTGGGATACTTCTCCCATCCAACGCATTTCTCGCTGAGGATGCAGTCTCAGAATCACTAAATTGAATTAATGCCTGCCAAGTTTGAAAATAGAAGTGAAAATGTTACAGAATCGATGGCAAATTCAAAATGATCCAAATGCACTTTTGCTATCTCACCTGGAAACCAGCAGCTTTTTCAAAAGTAGCAATTTTGTGCACAAAACCAAAAGCGGAAAATACCTGAAAAAGGTTTTAATTAGATATGACTGCATTTTTCAGATGCAAACAAGATTAATGAATATAAATAGTTGGAAACCATCCCAAACATCAATACAATGGGACAGAGAATGAAAATCCAAATGGATAAGATATAAGTGCAGAGTGACACCTGTACATATATGCGTCAAGATAGACCTTAGAAAGGAGTATGACGTACATGATAATATTTCCAAACTGTCTCCAACAAAAGAATCTAATTAAGAGGCATCATCATCTGTTATCCAATCGCGTTCAGTTGAAAATAACATGATTTAATCAGAGTGCTATTTCTAAATAAATAGTAAAAAGGATAAAGAACGAATATCTTCAGTAGATGAAGAATAACCTATATTCTCTAACTAAAAGAACTAAGAAAAGAGACCGAAATTGAAAGACTCATACAAGAGCCACATCATTTCAATCAGCTAAGTAGACACACAAATCTTCAAACAAATATTAAATAGTAAGCATGAGACATTATGTTCCAATGCTAGTTCAATTGAATATTACCAAGTTACTGCTTCCACTATTCTTACGAAAAATATGTACAAGGGAAAGATGATGCTACAGACAACAATAACTGTTGTTAACAAAAAGACAACTAATTCATATCATTACAAAAGCACATAGAAAAGCTGCACCAAGACCAATGTCCGGGAAGTGCTTGTAATACAACCTTACAGCTTTGAAGAATTTGATAAAAAAAAATGATGATAGAAGCTCAAGCATATAGTAGCCCAGGTTGCGAGTCCTGAATTCTGAGGAAGATACATAATTTGATAAATTCTCTTAATCAATTTTTTTCTTTGGTGTAATTCTTTTAATCAACCTATTGTCACCAATAATCATATTTCTTTTTTCTATCAATAACTGAGGATTACTTGAAAGAACAAATCTGTTTCAAGATGCTTCCAAGAATTGTCATAAAAAAAATCTAACCACTTGAAATTCAAAAATAGCAAATGTCTTTTTTCTCAAATTAGAAGCTTTTGGGATCAAGCTCAGGTATATGCATGTATGTGTATATCACATTGTAGAAAATAACATCTGCTTCACAAAGTTCAGGTTCAGAATATTACTTGACAATAGATGCCTTTCCCAACATGGAGTATCCAAATAATACAACAGCTTGTAACATCTGATATTACTGATTCAGCAATGTAAACACCCAGCTGGAATCACTTACCAAGTGAATTACATCAATGCTCACATCGCCAGCCTCTACACCCTCGATCGTTACTAGCAAGACATTTCCAGGAACATCTCCAGGACTCTTGTTATTGACAATTTCATGTCTATTTGAATATTGAATGTAAACTGTTTTGCCACGAACTTGTGCAGGTTCTGAAGATGACGCATAATAAGAAACCATTGATATGGCCTGGTTTAGGTCTGCCTGCAAGTTACAAGTTTATCAACACACTTTATAGCATATAATCCCAAAGGACAACCAAAAATGTTCATAAACTCTAAATTGCATTTAGTTTAGAAATAATGCATTATCAAGCAAATTGGAAAACAAACTTCTGATTCTAAAAATAAAAGATTTCATGAAATATGTATCTACCAAATACCTAAGGAACAAAAGAAAAATACTAATTATGCACAGTCAATTTGTAAGTAGAATAAATTCGCAAATAAGCTTTGCAATTGCTAACTTAAATCAACTTGGAAGTCATACAAAGAAATGTTTCAGAAAAACGATTCCATCAAAACTAAATAGTTTTAGAAAGTAGGCTCAGGTCAATCACAAAATCAAAATGTAAGGACACTATCAGTAGGAACCTATAACCACAATTAACTACTGAATCCTGCTTAATTATCCTCCAAAATTCGGTACCAAAATTAAGGTTTCGGACCCATTGTCCAAAAATTTAAGCTAATTCTATAACAGACTAACCAAGCTAAGCTAGGAACAATCCCCTCCACTCCACAAAAACTCTTAACGCCCTGTATAAGTACATACATAAATCTGCAGATATTCACGAATTCATATGCAAGCGTCTACACGGAGTACAGAAAGTATAGACACAAGGTGCTTTTCCTACAAGATGTGGAATAATCTAACGTATCCAAAATGAAAATGAATATAAATAAAGTTAACTGAGGATCCGATTTGAACTCCTCATCAGACAGAAACAAGCTACACCAAAGTGCCCAATTTTCCAGGAAACTATCTGTTGTCCTATAAAACCAAGCAGAATAAAAGGAAAACAAAATATTCTAAACTCACAAACTCAACAAAAGCCTGGTTGCGATTGGCACCAACGTTGCATTTGGTGTTGACAATTCTGCCGAAGGGTTTGCAGAGCTCGACGAGCTCCTCTTCCGCACACTCCCACGGAAGATTCCGCAAGTGCAACACCTTCGACGGGGTCTGTGTGTACCGGAACTGGGGCTGGCCCGACGTCGACATCTCTTTGGGTTGAGAAGTAGGGTTTGACGGGCGTGAAGGCTGCAGGTTCCTATCTGGAAATCTAGAAAGTGTGAGATGTCTTAGGTATCTGTTTTGGGGTTTTTTTTTACGGGTGGAAAGAATTTATGCGTTATTACGGTTGCCTCTTACGTATGGCCGGGCATCTTGTATCATAAGCTAATACGGTACAAAACTTATTGAATCATGTGTATTATGAAATTATCATTTTTAATTTATAATATTTAATTTAATTAGAGTAAAAATTTAATTTCAGTTTATTAATAAAATTATGATGATCAAATTATAATTAATATCAACAAATTATGATATATTTAACGAAATAAACATTTAAGTAGTAGTTAGGTTCTTTTAATTGGAATTTTCACAATTTTACTCTTATTTACCTAAAAAAAATTATGTGTAATTATAATCACTTCTTAAAAATGTGTGAATTTGAGTTCTAGATTTTGCTTTTTGTATGACATTATTATAATATTATATTATGTGTGTGTACATGTAAAGGTCCGGAACTTAAGGAAAACGAATTTGTATTTTAAATGCGGAAGGAAATAATAAATTTAGGGTTTTTATTTTTTACACATTAAATTAAAATGCATAATAGGAATATCGGAATATTTATTTTACAACTATTCATAAAAAATAAAATAAAATAAATGATCGAAAACAAGTAAATAAATATCCTACGGATTTAATCTTCACTAACACTTGATGAAGTTTGGGAGGTAATCGACTCACAATCCTCATATTAATTAAGATCTAGATCTTGATTTTTTTGATCTAAAATAGTTAATAAAATGATAAATTATACTATTTCAATAAGAATATCACACTAATCACTGATACGAAAATCGAATATTGATAAAAATCACAAAATAACTAATAGAGCCCTTAATTTAAGTAAATTCATTTAACATCAAACCGTTTATTCCATACTTATCGTCATGAGTTTTTCAAAATCAACCTATGAAGATAATAACTCAAATAACATTATGATTTCAAATACAAATGGACAAGAACAATAATTTTCTTATTTACCTGCTTACTAGAACCTCTTAGGGCTATAAGGATATTCTTCTACTTGTGAACCAAATATTCAGATTTTGTCCATTAACCTAGTCATCCCCATACCCTGTCTGGTAATGGGTGCCATACACACCAATGTCTCGATATTTCGTCCGGTATGAAAGTGAAACAAATGTTTCAAACTTTTTTGGTATGGGACTTCTCAGCTCCGTCTGACTAAAGTGATGTCCACAGTAGGGTTTCCTATGTACCAGGTCTACCATTTTCTGAGGTATCTAGTAAGCATTTCTTACATAGATTCATACCATAAATCGATTACCAGTTACATACTAATATCTTACATTTACAGATCAATAGTAAGTCATGCAATAGGCGATACGTATATCAAGAAACATAATTGACACATTTATTGCAAAAACCAACCAACAAATGAGAGATATGCAGTGAGGTTTACCAAATAACCGAGAAAGTAATTAAGACTAATAATTTAATGCATACAATATAATAGTAAGCATTTTAAGTAGTGCAGAAAAATAGATAGTAAAATAAGGCAAATATGAACTGACCAGTTATGCCTCCATTAATTACTTATAATTATTCTTAGAGTTTTTTAATTTTTACAAAACACAGTATTATCGATTATTAAGTTTCAATTTACTATAACAGAAAAAAGGGTGAGGGATTCTTATCTTTGATCGGTGTCCGAAATATCGTATTTTCTACTACGCTTCCTGGCAGCCCCCGAGTTTTTTGAATTTTTTCTGTGAAAATTAAAATACATGTCACGTATCTAAAAATATCCCAAAAAACCTTTTCGGCCAATTTTAGGATTTTGGCACTGCGACTCTGGCTCCAGCGACGGTTTCGCAGCCCATGACGGTAGTTCGCCTCGGTCTGACTGGTTTCAGCCAATTTAAGCTGATTTTGGTCGATTTTACACGTAAAATGAGTTAGGAGGCCTCGGTTAGCTGGAAAAGACAAAAAATTTAAACTTATTGGCGGATGGGTCTCCGGATGCGACGGCTCCACCGGTCTTCCTTCACAGCTGAGGTCCCTCTTCGACTAACTTGCACTATAAAAGAATGGTGAACATGGTGATCAAAAAATCACGTGAAACAGAAAATAGGAAGAGAGTCATCAGAGAGGGTTTTGGATTTTGGTCGCGGTAGTTCGACCAATGCCCCTAGTTTTTGGCTCACCCATCGACCCTTTGACTCCGATTTGGGCATAGGAAGACTCAGGATCGAATTCCAAGTGAGAATGAAGAAAAATTACCTGTTTTGGCACCAATGGTGACTCCGATGCGGCGATGACGATGGTCGATTTCTTTTTTGGTTGCTCTTCTTTTTCTTCGATGAGAACTAGTGCAGCTATGGTTAGGGTTCTTTAGAACATGATGTTTAAATATCCTCTCTGTGTCGATTTGGACCGTCCGTGCGAGGACACGTGGCCCTCTCCTGTCGGTTGTGTAATATTCGAGCTCGAAATTTGGTGCAAGATTAATTTTAACATAAAAAATGTATAAAAATCTATTTTTAAAATTTATAAATTTCAATTTAATGTGAAATTATAGAAAAAATAGGTTGAGAATGAAATTGAAAATAATTTTGGATAAAAAAAGTGAAAATTTGGGTTCGAATGATATTTTTGAAAGAAAATTCGAAAACTGGATATTAGAATGCAATTTAAAAAAAATTACGCCATGTAGAACTGCCCAGTCAACAGCCTCGATGAATCGGAGCGGGCTGCATGGCAAGGCCAGTTGACTCGGTGCCACGCGGGAGGCCACGCTAGCGATTTGCGTGCCCCACGATCAGACGGCCCGGAAGTATTCCTGCGCACGCAGACGGTTTAAATCCATTCCCTCCTCAGGTGTGATCGGACGGTCGCTATTAAATATGATGAACAGCCCAAATTCGTTTCCTCTTTAAATGCAATTAGACGGTCAAAATCAAACGCGATAAATAGTCCAGATTAATGCGAGACGGGTATAAATATTTTGTATCACATCGAACTCAACCCCTAATTATCAGCCTTCCATCGGAGAAGAAGAACCAGTCGCTGGAGAAGGGAGCCGACCGCCGCGTGCTGCCGCGCTAGAGCCACCTCTGACTGCCAAAAAATGTAAAAATTATTCTATCCACTCGAAATTTGATTCTGAGCACCTCCATGGCCAAATCGGAGCAAAAGAAATGGCGGATGAGCCAAAAACTATGGGTAAAGTCCCGTGCCATCACCGTAGGTAAAACCCAAAACTGTCTCCGATGACCTCTTCCTGTTTCTCAGTTCGTGCGATTTTTCCACCATTGTGTTCACCGTTCTATTTTCTACATGTTGATAAAAAAAATACTCAGCCGCGAAGGTGAGTCAGCGAAGTCGCCATACTAAAAAATTTCAACACTAGTAGATTTTCGATTTTTAACTTTTTTCGGCCAACCGAGGCCTCCTAACGTGTTTTCTCGTATGAATGAGTATAAAATTGGCCGAAACTGACCAAAACTGGCAAAAAATGGTCAGGCCGAGGTAAATCGCTGCCGCGAACGATAATGCAGTCGCTGGAGCACAGCAGTGATGCCATGCCATAATTTTAAAATTGGCCAAAAAAGGTTTTTAACACTGATTTTAGATTTTTTGAGGTATTTTTAGCTGCGTGAAGTATGTTTTAATCTCCGTAGAAAAATTCAGAAAACTCGGGGACTACCAGTAGGCGCAGTAGAAAGTTCAGTATTTCGGACACCAATTCGGGTAAGAATCCCTCACCTTATTCTGTTATAGAATTGACGCTTAATAATCGGTAATGTGGTATTTTGTATAATTTAAAAAAAAAATAGAATAATTATAAGTTACCAATAAAGCCAGAATCGGTTAGTTATTTATTTATTGTCTTGTGTAACTGATTGTTGAATTTATAGCTTTAAATATATGATAATATACCGGAATAGTTGAATGATTCAATTGTGGTTACTTGATATGTATATTATTTGTGTTACATGATTTACGGTTGATTTATGAAATTGAAAATTAATATGCAAACATAAAATTATTTGGTCATGTAAATTAATGAATGGTAGCCTTACTGAATATCCTGAAAGATGGTGGACGGATCGGGTACATAGGGAACCCTACCATGAACATTGTCTCATACTGGACGGGGTATCGAGAAATGGTATTTTTGGCGCTTATACTGGATGAGGTATGAGGACGGCTCGATTCACCCTCATACCGGACGAGGTATTGAGGGATGGTATTTTTGGCGCTTATACCAGACGACTTATGGAGACGGTCTGATTTACCCTCATACCGAATGTGGTATTGAGAGATGGTATTTTTGGCGCTTATACCTAACAGAGTATGGGGACGGCCAGTTAGTTGACTATGTTGAATATTAGTTCACGTGTAGTGGGACATCCTTATGGACCCCCAAGGATACCAATAGGTAAATAAAAGGGAAAATAGTTGTTATTGTTTACTTAAAAATGAGATTAGAATGTTATTTGAATTATTGTATTTCTATATGTCGATTTTAGAAACCTCGCAACAGTAAATATATGCAATAAATAGTTTTTTATTATAATAAATGAATTTACTTAAATAAAGAGCTCCATTGGTTATTTTTATGATTCTTACCAAGTTTCAGTTTCTGTATCGGTGAGTAGTGTGATATTCTTACAATGTTAGTATAGCTCGCCATTTCATTAACTATTTCAGATCAAGAGAACTAAGATCCAGACCCCGATCAACAAGAGGGTCGTGAATAAGTTCACCACTTGGACTTCCTTCAAAAGTTAGTGAATGTCATCCTAAAATATTCATTTATTGGCTTTTTCTTTATTTCCTTAATTTTCATAATTTCTTTTAGAATGGATATTCCCGTAATTCTATTGGACATTATAAATTATTATATAAGGAATGTAAACCTTAAACTCTATTGTTTTGCTTCCACATTTAATTCATAATTTTTTTTTTTAAGTTCCAGGTCTTTACATGTTGGATCCCTCTTATTCGGGAAATGAACTTGGGCCGCACGACCGGATTCAATCTAACTGTTTGATTGCGCCTGACAGGGAAACGTATATGAGC